AAAAAAAAAAAAAAATTACTACCAGAGCTCCGTGCTGCACTGGACGAAGCTGGCTCCCAGCGCGGAGCCTGGCGATTTTTTTTCCCTTCTTGCAATAATAAATTCTAAGACTCAGATGAAATCGCGAAGAGGCTCCAGTCTTCTTCCATGGTGGCGACGATGCGGCGTCCTCGAGATGGGCTGAGATTGGTGAGATGGGCTGAGATTAACGGAGCAAATGCCAATAGTTACAGGAGGTGGCTGTGGAGGACGTTTGATTAGTAGCGGTAGTCCACCTCTGCATCTGTCTTCATCATCTCCTGCCGCCAGTACCGAGGAATCAGAATCCAGTTATGACCCCCTCGAATGGCAACGATACGGGAGGGGAGGGGAGGGGATATGGAAAAAGGATTAGGGTTTGGCATGAATTGGCTGGACTTTGATTTTGTAATATTAAAATATATAATTATTACGTGACTTTTGATTAATTAAAGTTTGTACCCGATTTATGGACAGTAAACTTCAAATACTAGCTACTGTGTAATTTTCCCTAAAAAATATGTTTTAAGAGAAAATGTCACAATCTCACTCACCAATCAAACTTAGCCGAAGCAGGTTCGGGTGTCTCGAGCCTTTGACTCTGCACCCGAATCCAACTCCACCCCCACTCCAACAGTTCGTTGAAAATTTCCCCAACTTATCTTTTTTCACAGCAAAAACACCTCATTTTCTTCCACCATTATCTCTCTCTCACTACTTTCTCTCTCTGTAAAAAGCTCACCCGTTTGCCGATTCAATACCTTAAGGGGATAATTATTCAATAACGCACGATCGAATTTCAACTTCAGCTCATTTTTCTATTTTTATTTGCATCTCGATATTCACGTAAGTCTGTTTTTCCCCTTATCGCAAACCCTATCTTTTCTCTGTGCTGCCCATGTATTTCTGTGTAAATATGTGCGTCAGAGCGCGTGATCGTGTTCTCTGATGTACAGATTCTATAAGGCTGGTTAGGCTTTCGGGATTCGAGGTATTTACTAGGTATATTTTGATATTTTCAGCTTGTTTTTATGTTCCGGTTTGAATTGCAGAGTCAATCTGTGATTTGTAAATTATGTGATCTTTTTTTTTTAGGATTATTTATTTATGTCAAGTTTGGTGAATATTATCTGAATATATATGTTGTATATGTGTTCTGTAAATAGGGACTGTGCGTCTATATGCATATAGGTGATCTCAGTGGCGTCAATTGGATGAGACCGTATTGGCTCTGTCACACATTCTGGGACTTCTCCTCGGATTGATATTATTGGCTTCCTAACCTTTTTTCTTTCAATCATTGATTTTTAACTTGGTCTGTTAATAAGAAAATTCGTGAAAGTTACAACTTTTTGGTGGAACATGATGATTGCAATCTTGTTTTAGTGGTAATGGAATGCTTAAAAACACAATGTGTTATCTTGTAGGAAATTGCAGGTTTGGGAGGAGGTTACGAAATGTATGAAACTTCATATTAGCAAACAAAATGGTAGACCCCTTTGTCACTGGTTAAGGTGTGAAATGTTTACTGTAGATAGAATTGCAACTATTATTAGGTGAAATTGGCCTTCTAGATGATCCAAGAAATAAAAATGTGTCTTCCAATCAGTGTCAGGTAATGCTCTTTATTATAGCTTTTTTGATCTTGAGAACAATTAGTCTGAGTAGTAGGTCGGTTGAGGTATTAGGATGTGAATGACAATTTCTTTAGGTCTATACAAGATATGCCGCAACTACCCAAGCCATCGTTCCTTAATTTATCCCCCATCAGTGTCACTTCAACGACTTGTATTCTCATTTTTACCTTATCTATTTTAATATGACCTTTTGTTTTACTATGTTCACCATATTGACCTTTCTCCTTTAAAAAATAGTGTCAGTGCTATGCTCGCAAATTATGTTTTTATAAAAGAAAAATAGAGTTTAGATTAACATCCACTCTAGTACTCCACCTAACCTTAAATTCTTAACTGCCTCATGTGCATCTGTTAGTAGTCTTCTTAGTCTCTCTTTCTCTTTCTCTTTTGACTTTATGAATATGGTTAGTAGCTCTAAACATACCCACAACCTCAAGCCTAACACTTGGCCTATTATCTCTCAGTTTCACATATTCCCACCTTTTCTTTTCTCTGTTCTAGGCTTCTAGCCGCTAGACTTTTCAATAACAAAGTTGTTCTGAACATTTTACTTATACTAACGCGTTAATTTTTTGGCATTGGTGGTGCTGATGGTGATATTCAGAACATCGGAAAGATTAGGTCTAGGGAGGTTTAGTTTAGAAGGCATGTATTTCCATTTATTGCTTTAATTCTTTATCGGTCTCCTAAAATATGAGGGTGAGATAATATAGTTTTAGTCTGAATAAGGACTAAGTTCATGGTTGAATGTGATATTTTAGGCTTTAAATAGGTCTTGGTAGTTATCGAGAGGATAAGGACATAATAAGTGTGATATTGAGTAGGTCTTTGCGATTTTCTGGTTTTTTAACCTAAAACCAGACCAATTTCTAGTTTTTCTGGTCTAACAGGCCATTCCACTCCAGATTTTGGCAACATTGGGTTAAATTACTTGTTACTTCAGCCATTTTTTGGGATAAAAATGGCAATACTAATGACTGTTGGGTGACCTGCAACTTAACTTCAAATCCCAGGATACTTCCTGTTGTACTTTTGGAATATTTTCGTAATATGTGCACAGTGTAGCTGTGGCTACTCTGAAGGCTTTGAAATAATTTGGCACTCTGACAGTGATCACTGCCTAACTAACCAATCCATAACAAATATAAGTTATATATTTATTTTTATGAAGTAATTTGGCACGGTGACCCTGGTCACATACTTGCCATGACCAAGAAAAAAGTTAGGCCCTGTTTGGTACACATTATTTTTTTCATTCCTGATCACATACTTGCTATGACCAAGAAAAAAGTTAGGTCCTGTTTGGTACACATTATTTTTTTCATTCTCATTCTTCTACTCATTTTCAATCACACATTCTTCAATAAAATAATATTTTTCATCACATCAATAACTTTTCCTTCATTTTTAACCACACAATCTCCATCAATCTACTATTCAATAATACATTCTTTCAAAAGAATGTGTCCCAAACACACTCTTAATGCAAACATTCAGAAAAATTGGCAGACAGGGTATAAATACAAATTTTAAACAGAAAAAAATATTTGTTACTGCTATTAGAACTCCTTAGATTACGTTGTATATTGAAACAAATCAATATTAAATCTCTCTCTGATACTTAGCTATATATAGATCTGTTTCGTTCACTTTATGGAGCATACCTGTTTTTTCACCTACAATTTGTTTATGATTTTTCCATTACAAAATGAACAAAATGAAGGATAATCAAGAATTTTTATGACAAGTTGGTTCCATAGACAATTCAAACATTAAAGTCAATATTGTGAAATTTGTTGCGTTAGCATTCAAAATTAAGATACGTTGAGCATATAATTGCTATTAAAGGAGTAAAAATCTGAATTTAAATAAATAATTGATAGTAAATGAGCAAATGCGGAAACAAGGAATTTTAAGTGTTCGGCATTTCTTCGGGAACTTAGTTCTCGCACCACTCAATTGTTTGTTACATTGGAACATATATGAAAACTTCGCTATTATTTATTTATTTTTGTTTCTAGCCTCCACTAAGATCATTTTATAGGCCACTTTGTTCTAATAGGAGATGAAAGCAACATATTTACTTTTATAGCTTCAGCTTGGGCCTGTTTTCCCCCTCCAGATATGTGTAGGTTTTGCCTCCTATTCATTCACTCGCTAATAGATGCAAACATTGACTCATTTTCCATGTGCACGTGTATGTATTTATGTTGTTTATCTATGCCGATTCTTGGGTTGAAATGGGGCACTTGGAAAATAGTGCTTGTAACTGTCTTATCATAGACTTGGGGACATTATGGCTGGGAAATGTTGACTTCTCTTTAAAATGATTGATAGCATACTGTTGCATACTTGCATCTTTTTGTTATATAATCAGTAGTCATTATACTGATTACAGATATTAGTGTTGATTTTAGCTTCATTCAGTATATTTAGTTTTTATTAACTGTGTCTTGACTTTTCTTATTCAGGGAAAGGTCTTGGGGCTAAGAAGTTGGTACAGGGTTGGCTCTTAGTTTCAGGAGAATTATGATGTTTTTAATAAGTTCTATTTGCTTGTCAAAAATAACAAGGTTGTGACGTTGTATGCATGTACCAGTGAGCAAGAATTTCAAAATATAGAATTGACGTCAGTTAAGTGTACCAATGCTTAAAAGCTGAAATTTTGGGTGTCAACCATCTATGCCTGGCAATGAACTCGGAGACAGGGTCCACAATTTCTTTGCACAAGACAACTTGCCACAGGAACAGCATCATTCACAAACTGTAGAAGGGAATTGGCCTGTGCTAAACAACAATTTCTGGGTTGGCAGCCAGAGAAAAATTGATTTAGCACATTCTGATTCAGAAAATTACGGTTCACAAATCTCAGGTAACTGGCTGTTTGAGAGACAAGTTCAAATATTTTGTTATGTTTGTGTAGAATGATTAGTTATTTTTTATTTTCCTCTCAATGAAAGAAAAGCGTTTACATAAATTTTTGGTCACCTGTCATTGAGTTCCGTACTACTTTTCTGATATGTTATCTTATGTTTCCTTGGGCAGATAGAGGTATAGGACAGGGCAGTTATGCTCTTCACGCTTCACATGGCTCGAATTTTGATCAAGCTACTGCGAGGTCTAGTTTTGCTAAAAGTCAATACCAAAGCGAACAGTCAAATTTGAATGGCTATACATATGGAAATCAAGTTCACCAGACGAGGCTTATTGAAGCTAACTCTCTGACAGTGGATGCAGATTCTGATCAGCATCATCTAACTACCTCGAGAGGCCTATCTATCCATGAATTCCAGAAAGGGAGCGGCCTTGAACATCAAGCAAAAAATTCATTGAGCTCAGAAGCAATCTCTCCCTTGAGTTTTGATCTTTTTGGTGGTCAGCAGCAGATGAGTTTTCAGCAATCAGGCATGCTGCAATCTTTGCAACATCAACAATCTGGGCTCAATGACATGCAGCAAGTGCAACAACAAGCCTTTATCAAGAAAAGGCAAGAGCTTCAAAGACAGCAGCAACTAGATCTAAAGCAACAGAATTTGTTTAATCAGAATTCCCCCTTTGCTAAACCGGCATCTGGTAGCCAGTTATCTCTTAACCGTGGCACTCCAAATTCTGATGCATCAAATTATGCATGGACGGTCGACCATGGTAATACAAACTGGCTGCATCGTGCCTCCAGTGGACTTGCTGTTACTCCAAATCTTGGTCAGACACAACGCTTAGCGGATTTGGTGCCTCAACAGGTTGATCAATCTCTTTATGGAGTTCCTGTTTCTAGTTCAAGGGGTCTAGCTGTAAACCAATATTCACAGATGGGAAAGGATAGATCTCCTATGCTGCAAATGTCGACCAATAGTAATTCTCTTCCAGGCCAATATACTGGTTTGCAAGATCAGATTAGTGTACAGGGTAGGACATTGATATCTGGACAGAGATTTCAGAATGAAAATATGTTTGGACATACTTCTAGTCAAGCTTTAAATACTGGGATAAATATGGAGAGCCTCCAACATGTGAATCCCATGCAAGGAAACACACCTCAGCAGGACTTCTGGGGGAGGCAAGAGCTCTCTGTTCCACAGGAAGCCTCAACTGACAAACCAACAAAACAAATTGCTGCTTCTTCGAATGAAGGTGCCCTGGATCCCATGGAAGAAAAGATTTTGTTCGGATCGGATGATAATGTATGGGCTGCCTTTGGCAAGAGCAATAATATGAGTGACGAAACTGTTAATTTATTTGATAATGGTGGGTTATTGGATGGGGTTCCTTCTCTTCAAAGTGGTAGTTGGAGCGCTCTTATGCAATCAGCTGCTGCAGAAACTTCTAGCAGTGATATGGGGTTGCAGGATGAGTGGAGTGGGAAACAATTGGCATCTTTGGCTGGTGACAATGTGCGACTGCCTTCGACTATGGGTTCTGGATCTGCTGCTCCTTGTGATGGCACCAATACTAACATTCACTACCAGAATTTTATGGGATTCAATCATTTTGGACCCAAGTTTCAAGGTGGACCTGGTCAAAGACTGCAGTCAGAGAAGTCTCAAAGGCTTGTTTCCTTGGAGGAAGAAGGCAAGTGGTCGGATAGCAGTTCACTACAAAGAGTTGCTGAAGGGAGTCAGATGTATAGGAATGCCTCGCAACCTTCTCTTGATGTAGAGAAAAATGCAAAGAGCATTTCTGCTCCTTTGGTCCATGAGCACAATGGAGCTGGACAACTGCCAAATGATTGGAATACTTCATCAGCTCTCTCTTATGGTGGAGATCGGGTGGTAAATGACCGTGAGATTGGAAAGTTGTCACAAAATTCTCAAAGCAATCCAATAAAGGCGATACATGAAGAAGTGGATCATAGACGTTCTTCATGGAAGTTAAATACTGCTCCTAGTTCAACTGTTGAATTGGGTAGTATGAAATCTTTTGTGGGAAGTCCTCAAGTAAGTAAAGAAGGCTGGAGTTTGAATGATGCTGCTTTAGTACCTAACTCAGTAACCACAAGGGTTGATGAAGAAGCCAGTCCATTTGTTCAAAATAATTATTTATTTCATCAATGGAAGAATGCTAACTCTTTGGTTAAATCCCAGGGGGGTGATGGCTTGGGGAGAATGCTGCACCAGGTTAATGAAGGCAATAAGGAGGAAATTACAAGACATGAGACGAAGAATTATGATCGGACGGATAATTCTAACCACAGCCATCAGTCTAACTTATCTCAGCACACTTCTGCTGGTTTCATGGGACGTGGGATGTCAGATACTAGTGATTCACAATCTCTGGCACCAGGGAAACAAAAGTCAATTAATGAGTGTGGCCATAAAGTTTCTGGTACTCACAAGTTCCAGTATCATCCCGTGGGAAACCTGGATGAGGATATTGAACCTTCCTATGGTTTCAAGCAACCTATCCATGTACAGCGAACTTCGTCACAAAATAACGAGTTTGAGCGGTCAAAGTTTCTGGGTCAGGTTCCAAAGAATTCGATTGTAATGGAAAAGGTGAGTTGTAACTTTATATATGTATAAACACCTGTTGCGGATAAGTCCAAAACTCTTCATACTTTTTATAATTACAGGGGCAGTCTTCTGATCTTCAAGTAGACAGTAAAAGCCCTGATGAGGGGCCATCCCTTGAGAACCAGTCTGGCCATGGCAGATCTGTTGATACGCACGCATCAAACAAGGCTTCTCCATCAAGGTAGTACATTATTCATGTATGTCCGTGGAATTTTTGCAGTATTATCTGTTCTTTGACTGTGTCTATTCTATCCAGTCGAAACATGCTGGATCTTCTTCACAAGGTGGATCAATCGAGGGATCAAGGTATTGTGATGCACTTTGATTCCTCAAATGGCAGTGGACCATCTCAACTGCCTGAAGCAGAAAACTGGGATGGGCTAGTTGGCCACCTTCAAAATACTCAATCTTCTGTCTCTCAAGGTTTTGGATTACAACTTGGTCCTCCATCTCAACGCATGCATAAACCTGACCATTTGTTGTCTTCTCAGAATGCTCAACATCCTTTTAACTCTTTACATTCTAGTCATACTTCTGGAGATATTGGAGAGGAGGACCAGCAGATGGCTCCCACACCCTCAGTTCAATCTTTTCCTTTTTCCAATGAACAATCCCAGGTTGAATTTGAAAATAACAAATTTGGATCTCTGAGACAATATGGAACTGAAGCCTCTCCGTATAAGATACCTGCAAATTTTTCTTCTGCTCTCAATTCAGGTTTTCCCTATCCAGGAAGTCATCTTCAAAATCAACGGATAACTGGGACACATGGACAGAGATCTCAACTCATTGATTTGTCATCCAAGAAAAATGCTTTGCACTCTATCCTAAAAGGATCTGCAGATGCCTTTTCACCTGATGCATCTGGCAGTATTCCGCGTGATAATTTGGCTTCGTTGGAGGGTACATCGCAACGAATTGGCACTAATGATCCACAAGAAAGAGGGAAAGCTGCAACGATGTCAGCCAAGGATCACGTGCTGGCTTCTCAGCCTTTTTCCAGGCCTGACATTTTTCAACATGATGCTTCTGCACAACTCCTGCGTAATATGTCGGCCAATGTTCCTACACATAAAAATACTTTGGGTTCTCCACATCACAAGGTGTCATCAAATTTTTTGCAGTCTCCCCTGCCAAATATTGTTGAATCAAGCTCTTCCATTTCCCTGGCTCAAGGTGATCATGATGTGAGAAAAGAGAGGAATTTCCCATCTGAGTTTGGTGCAATTCCTACAAACTCTCAAGGTATCAGTGGGGAAGAGGAAAAGTTGAAAGAAAGTTCTAATCAGCAACTTGGAAAAGCTGCCTCCATCAACCATCTGTCTGATGATTCTCCTGCAAATTCTGCTTCAACACAAAAGGACATTGAAGCCTTTGGTCAATCTTTGAAGCCAAATAGCTTCTCTCATCAAAATTTCTCCTTACTAAATCAAAAGTGGGCCATGAAGGATGTGGAGACTGATCCAAACAATAGGGTCTCAAAGAGAATAAAAGGACCAGATAATGATCTGCGTGTTCATCAAGTAGCTTTGAACACAAGGCAGTCAAATGAACGTAGTGCTCTTATTGGAGATTCATTAGGTTCTAGTACTACAGTTTCTTCTGGAGATGGAGGAATTCTAAGCTTTTCCAAGCCAGCTGACTTATTGGAAAGTAACATATCTTCTCAACATGGAAATATAGCTACAAAACTTGGATTTGGTCTAGATGTTTCACAAAGCAACTTTCTTAGTGATACTACAGCTTCTGTTAAAGTTGAGCAACCTCATGTTAGTCCTCAGATGGCTCCATCCTGGTTTAATCAGTATGGAACTCTTAAAAATGGGCAAATGCCAGACACAGTCACCTCTTTGAGAACTGCAGAACAATCTTTTCCTCTTTGGAAGTCTTCCAGTAATTTTCCTGCACTTAGTCTGATGGAGCACGGAACTGATGCTGCTGTTGATACATGTCGAGTTGATAACATCCTTAATTCTGCACCCACATCAGTAGCAACTGGGCCCAAGAAGCAGAAGAATGCTACTTCTAAACTTCATCCTTGGCACAAAGAATTATCACAGGGTTCACAGAACCTTCAGATTCACAGGTGGTTATGACAAATATCATTTTTTCTGTTTTACCTCTTTTAATTATTTTTCTGTTACTCTCTCTTGTTCTTATGAAGAATGTGATTCTTGATTCTCGTGGCGTTCAAATATCTCTCAAACTCACTGTGACATTTTGCTTCTAATGTCATGAATTTTACTGTTTACAGCTTAGCAGCAGTAGAATGGGCTAAAGCATCAAATTGTCTAACTGAAAAGGTATATTGGGATTGCTAATTGTGCTCTTCCTTGTTCATATTCTCAATTTTTTGTGGGGTTCGCTTTGTCATTTTCTTCTTATCTGGGGTTAGGTTGAAGATGATGTTGAATTCATTGAAGATGGACCACCGATGCATAGATCAAAAAGAAGGCTGGTCATGACAACACAGCTTCTGCAGCAACTGTTTCGTCCTCTATCTGCAGCTGTTTTCTCTGCTGATGCCAGTTCAAATTATGATAGTGTGGCTTACTCCGTCTCTAGAATGGCACTAGGTGATGCGTGCAGTGCAGTTTCTTGCTCAATTAATTCAAATATGGCGTGTAATGGAATAAACTTGTAAGAGCTACTCAATATTTGTTGAAATTGTTTTATCATGTAAAAGATTTGATCTTTTGGAATTTGTAGTAGTTGCATAGGAATTTTTTCGGTTTTGACGACAATCTCAATAAATAATTATGTTGTAGACTTGCTGCTGAGGGCACACCATCAAGCAAGAATGGCGATAAGCATTTTGCAGAAGTTATTGAAGAATTGATGGGTAGAACGAGGAAGCTAGAAAATGAATTCTTGAGGTACATATTTTCATCATCTCGATCTTTTGTTCCGACTATGATGTGGCTTATAACTGTGTGATTTCATCCAATTTTCAAATTTTTTATTAGATCTTAGTTTTGCTAATGAGCCATGGAAGTAGGAACCCTTAATAGAGTTAAAAATGAGAATCCATGTACCAACTCTAGATAAGTACAGGATAAGGCTTTGTTGAGTTGAGATAATCCATTTAAGTAGCAAAATATCATTACATAGATTATATTTAGAGGGTAAAAGGTAATTGGATATTGTGGTCATTGGTCAGCCTTCAGTCTTTAGGTGTAGGATGTGAAAATGAGTCGTTTAAATTATGGAACTGCAACCCTGCTTCTGTATTATGCTTGTTCTAGATGTCAGGTGTTTCAATGTTCGCCTTGCTTAAGAAACTCAAGCACTCTAACTTCATGTATCAGTTTAAATATTACTCTATATAAACATTTTGCAATGACTTGTAACAGTTCAATTTAATACATCTGTAAAGCAGCTGCAGTATGGTCTCTGAGATCAAGTTTTTCTATTTTTTCAGTTTTGGTTTATTTCAGTACACATATTGAGACAAATGAATATGCATGCCCATTGAGTTATAGTATAAAACTTATTATAGCCATTCCTTCTACATTTTTTTTTGATAAGTAATCAGAGAATATATTAATAAATCAAGAAATGCAGATACCCACTTTTTGATTTTCTGCTAGACTATCAGGGTAATCGCCCTATATCTCTCAAAGAAACTGGAGATAGATTTCTGAATAATGAGACTGCCCCTCAGGTTTATATTGAAAGTAGCTTAAGGGCATATTTCTAGAGTATGTAATTGATACAGGATTTGCATTTAGATCTGAAAAACCACTCAGTACTAATAGGATTCTACTTACATTGGCTTGTAGATTCGTAGAACTTCATAAGATTATTGGGCAGTCTTTGGTTAGCAGGAAATGAATCTAGTGGAAACAGTATGAAGTTAGGAACCGAATTGGAAATGACTACAGAATGGAATCTGGATTTGCCATTTCCATCTCTGGATTGATCTATTATTTGGAAGATTATTTGATACAAAATTTTTGGCAATTGACTTTTTTTTTAATTATGCACGTCGAACATATCTTATTAGCTCGTGGAAATAAAGTGTGTAAGAGGCTGGATAAGAAGCACGATCACGGACATGGACAAGTCTACATGTAATTTTCCAAAAAAGTAGGACATGGACATGTTTGGGATACATTAACTTAGATTCTTTAAAATTTAATAAAATCAATACTTTTTCTAGTTTTGATTTTTGTTGGTGAAATCTTTTAAATCGGATCAGTGGCTATTTATTATATTAAAACAACTTTGAGTTGAACTAGTATAAAACATAGGACATACCACATGGTATATTGGCCATCGGTCTTGGAGCGTCCAAAGAGTGGCAGTGTCCAACCCCTGCACGATAGGTGTCCGGCATGGATATGTTTGTGCTTCACAGGAGGCAGGTATTTAAGAATGGTGACCTTATTCCAGAGAATCAGTTAGCAAATACAACCTTTAAAAAAAAAAAAAAAATTAGTGCTTATTTGAAATAGCTTAAAAATTTGCTGAAAAGTTGAGGTTAAAGTCAATAATTAATTTTAACCACAAATTTCATGAGACTCACTACTTTTACTTTGCAACCATACATTTCATCAACTTTCATCAAAATATGCTAAATTTTTTATTAAAAGCTTTGTCAAACAACCCTACTGTTTTCTTCAAACTGTTCTCATAATGATGTACCTTATATCATTCTTTAATTTGCTGTAGCCATATTTAGATGCATCATACCTGTGCACAAGTGTATTTTTGTTTTTTTAAATGCTGTTTTACCATGTTGCAGACTGGATAATAGTTCACCAATACTGGACCTGAAAATCGAATGTCAAGATATGGAGAAGTTTTCTATCATCAATAGATTTGCTAAGTTCCATGGCCGGGGACAAACTGATAATATGGAGACAACATCGATGAGCGATGTTATGGCAAGTACTCAGAAAACTTGCCCTCAGAGATATGTTACTGCACTTCCAATGCCTAGAAGTGTTCCGGACAGAGTACAATGTCTATCACTATAAAGATAAATTGATTTATTTTTTGTGGTTTCATGGTCGACCGGCTCTCCACCTGTAGTTATATATTGGCACCAAAACAAGTAGAACCACAGAATGGATATGAAGTTATCTCTTCAAACATGGAGGTTATTTAATCATTTCGTTGTTAGGCCATTTATGTCACCTTATTGAGAATATAAGGTTTGGGTTCGTTCATGTACATTTCTTTGAAATTGAAGGAAACTTTTGGTGCCCTGTAATTTTTTGCTGAAAGAGGGCACAATATCGACACCAAGGTAGCAAAATCTTGTGTCTTATTAATTATTATATGGCAGCAACAAGTTTTTTCTATTTTTTTTTTTAATTAATAGAGATGTATTTTTCACTTTGCAAATTATGGCTTGGCTTGCTGAGATTTAGAGGTGACTCAGACATGGATGCTTATATACTCCCCGAAACATAACTGATAACAGCGAAGCTAAATAGATTTGAGGAAAGAAGTGCTTGTTGTGAGTTGAGATATTCTCTCTTTGTTTGGCTCTGGAATGTCGATATTTTACTCTTGCGAGCAAGATGTCACTAAGTACGCCAAAAGTGATGTCACTTTTGACATGATGTCTTGTTAATTACTAGCGTGATGATTTGAGGTGTGTGAGTTTTAGGAGGCAAACCTATTGGAGACAACAAATTTGGACTCAATTGTAGTTGTTTCATTCCCAATTCATTCCTCGTGTTACTTCATTTGAAACGATAGATTCCTTGTTTGAAATGTAGGCAACCAAATGAATCTTGATTGAATGGTTATTGTAGTGAATAAAATTGTAATTTAGAGCTTGTTTGGTAGGAATTAAAATTGAAAATATAGTCGTTATTTTTTACTTTTATTAGACGGGTGAGACCCAATAATAACTATATTTTCAATTTTAAGTGAATTAAATTCACTCTCAAACAAGCTCTTATTATTTTATTATCAATCTTTCTTATTAAGTTTAGTATATAAATTTTTTGTCTTAATATCTACTAATTGAACTTTGCCAATCAGCGAGTTGAAGTACTTTGGCACGCTATATTAGAAGATAAGTGAAGAGCGAGAAATTATTCGACACAACAATTGAGTGACGCTATATGGCACATCAACTTCTAACTTTTTCTTTCGAGGAGGTTTATATTGACTTTGGACTAAACAACTTGATCAAGTTGATTTTCTTGAAATGGAAGTGGGTTAAAGAGAGTAAGCTTGATAGGATAATCCGAATTTGATTTTTGGTGATATAAAAAGTGGTGATAATATCATATACATATTTAGAAGAAACGAACTGGCAATGGAAACTTAGCAGAAACGTACTGCCAACGATGTACTAAAATATGAAAAAATCACAGAGTATTAAAAGAAAAATTCACTGTCGAATGTTTTGTCCTTCAAACTTTAAAGCAGACAACCCATCGACCATCACCAAATCCAATTGACTCTTTCTCTCTCCTCTCTCTAGACACAGTCTCACTGTATATACGTACATACGCATCACTTAAACATTTGCTGCTTCTTTTTTCTTTCTGGGTAAGATTCAATTTTTTTCTGCTTTTTCTTTCACAAAACCCACAATGTGAACGGTGGAAAAAGGGTTTTGGACGAATATGTAATTATCTAAATTTGCTATCAAATTATTATCTTTTAACTTTTATGCATATAAAGCACGCACCTTCTCCTTTTCCATTCATTACGCTGCTTCTGCGGTTCTGCCCACTAAAGCTATTCTTTCACGCCTTTCTTCGTGTTCATCCATCTGTACGTCGTAAAGAATTGTTTGTGCAAAACCCACTACATGTACTTGCTCAATTTAGTAGAATTAATTTGATTACTTATAGTTAGTAGAAAATAAATGATTCTACTATTTTTTGCTTTAGTTATAATTCATGGATTTACCTTTCCCACATTGTTTTGATTAACGACTTATATGAAGTTAGTGACTACAGATTTGATCCAGGAATGAGTGAACCAGGAATGTTATTGCTACCTAAATTCCCAAGTTCGTTAGTGGAATTTTATGCAGATTTCAGCGAATTGGGATTTATACAATGTGCTTTACTCATTAATTGACCATTTAATTCTGTCTATGTCTATAAGAATCTGTTATTTGATTTGCAATCGTGTAATCTGCTTCTTGATTTGCTATGGTTTATAAGAATCTATTTAGGAACAATGTAAGGTTGAAATTGATATCTAGCCACTGGATTCTGAAGCCATTTAACATCGTTTTTAAGTATTAACTTACAGGGTGTAATGTTTCTGTATTAACACATGAGCAGGGTAGAGAGCTACTTTTCCAGTCAAGTAAGGCGGGAAGAATGAACATAAGGCGGCTTCTGGGATTAAAATGGATACAGTTTTGTAATCTGTTAAAGGTGAACTAGTTGTCTTTATTTTTCTTGCTTATTGGATTGGAGTCCCAGCGTGATTTCGTGGCTGTTGCATTGTAATATTATTGGATTTGGCTCTGTAATGAATCTGGTAATCAATTTTTCCTTCAGTTTTCTCAGCCCACTCCTCAGAAAACTTTGCGGGATAAAGCAATAGCAGTGGCAGGAAGAGTTACTATAAAGAAGGATGGAGAACATTCGAAGGTTTCTTGTCCTGTTTGTTTGGATGTAATTCGGACACCCCTTGATTCTGATATGAGGATGACACTAGCAGTGCACTTGAGTCTATGGCACCCTGACGATGTTAAGTTGCAGTGGGAAATTATGCAGAACAAAAACCAATCAAATCTTCACCTGCCTTCACTTGTCCTCGGAGTTGGAATTGCTGCTGGGATTGGAGCCCTTTTATCTCTTTCAGCAAAAAATCATCCTCGACCTTTTCCTGTTAAGACGGGAAGGTAGTGTATATTAAAGTTGGTATAGTACTGAATGAAATAACATTTTAAGTGATTCAGCATCGATTTCATACTTGACATGATCTAGAAATATTTTAAGGGGCTGTTTTTGATCAAGGAGAATTTAAACTGAGATTGATTCGAGAGGCAAACAAATTCAAGTCGGTACTGGACTGAAAAAGTGGAAAAAGATTAAAAATGGTGAAGTTCTGCATGTCAATGTTGTACTGCGAGACTGGTTTACTTTGAGCTTGCTGTTAATACATTAACTACATTTGTTTTCTGTTCATTTTGTTTGTTGCCTTTTATACAATTGGTTTCCCATTAAAGATGGTTGAACCGTGCTGTTTTATTCGAAACGTAACCACCATTGTCTCTGATATACTCGAGTAGGATAAAATATCTGTTTACATTCTCTTGAAAACAGATAGGAGTAATCTTAAGAGTGCAAATTGCTTAAGGAGGGATGTTCTTACAATGATCAGTAAACAGATTGAACCTTGACTGTGTATAGAATTGTCCTGATTATTTATCAGGTTATGATGTATATCAACTTGGAATTACTCTTTTTTGCATTACACGTCTATAAGTTAAGATTTGTCTTACTACTTGGGCACCATCTCCTTCTGGTGGTTTGGTGAACGGGTTGATGTGAAGAGATTGGCTCCGTAATAGGAATATTGGCTATTGTGGGTGTCAGTTCTGTAAAAGGTAAGTAAATTGTAATAACTCTAATTGCATTTCTCATTGTTAAGATTGGAAACGTAGAACTGTAATTACTTTGAAGTCCTTCTATTACATATCAGTTTTGTTTTAAAGGTGAGTTTTAGCTAATGTGCAAACATGAAAAATAAATTTTCATTTTGTAACTAGTTCGATGAATTCTTGGCACTCGAGCTCGAACCTATCTTGATTGAACATAACTATGGCTTAAAGTGATCAGTGATTAGTAATTTTATGTTTACTGATCAATGTAAGTGCAATGGATCTGTTTAATAAAGGATCATTTTATCCCTATCATTTGGAGATTTTTCTCAATCCGTCATAGAAACTCTTCTTCCTTTTGTTTAATATGAAGATGAGACTGAATCTGGAATCACTGCCAAGTGCCAACTATTCAGTGTAAACGCTCAAAACACATTTCCTGAATGAGGTCTTTTTCGAAATATATCTAACAAGAAGAGTTGTACGACCTTCATTACGTGTCAAATGTGATGTTGAACGTGTTGGTTCCCCGCGCCTCATGGTCTCTGTTGTGCATGTTCATTTTGTATGTGCTTTTTGTTTTGATGATCCCAATATCGGAGATGACCCCGACCAGTATTCCCGAGGAGCAAAGGCCCATTTCACTGTACTTCCCCAAGGTGTCCTCGGGGTTATCCCTCCTCGAGCTCGGGAATTCATGCTTCATAGGACCCCTCTCTAAGACAGAGCTTCTCCTACCCCAAGAAGGAAAGTCCTACTATTATCGTGATACCTCATCCTAAAAAGACTCTACCACCAAAATTCTATCCTAATCCAAACACATGGGCAATACGAAACCAGCTACATTACAACTTCCGGTTGCACTAGGACTCCTAGGCATCTCAGCATTATAGTCCTACTAGGAGTCTTCCACCTACCCCTATAAATACACCATTCTTATTCATTATCAAGGGAAGTTTTTCTCTACACAATTGACAGCATATATTTTTCTTCTATATTCTCTCTCTGACTTAAGCATCGGAGGGGCGACGAGGACACACCTTGACGCCTTTGTTTCAGGTATCGGAAGACCTCGTTCGTGCTTATTTTTAGTCGTCAAGCTCAGAAGTCGACAGGTACGATTTTTGGTAGCATCATTGGCGCCGTCTGTGGGAAACGCTACCAAAAGCCATGGTCAACACACGTTCAGGTCACCGTCCAATGACTTCACCCGTACCAACCCCGCCCCCGGTGGAGAAGCCCCA